GGGAGGGAGGGTCTGATGGATTCCAACAGAAGATGCAGAAAAAAGAAGGTCTGCCAAAACAAGAGCCTTTTATCAATGTTCCAGATTCTAGAATAAGATTTGCAAACAAAGAGAAATGCCGAATGGTAAGAGAAGGAAAGATGTTGCTCATACTGCGCAAGTCAGCCAAGAATGCGATTGCTGTTGAAAAACATACAAGACCCAGTTCAATTTGGCAACGGTAATGAAAATAAGAGCGAAGCCTGAAATTGGCGAGCGGCGGGCGGGGCCCCGGCTGGAAAGAGGTTAACAAGCGGCTCTCACACCGTCTCAAGCCTGATTTCACCAGGATGAATCGAAAGTGGGTCATGGAAAAATGCGACCCAGTTAATAATACAGACAGGCAAGCGCCCCGACCCAAATACGCCACTCCGCGACCCACATATCTCTGAGACAAGAACAGAACACGAAAGCATGTCTCCTCGGCTGCTGCTGCCTACAAGGAGGAGAGAGAGTAAACAAAAGAGGGTTGCTTCTACATTGTAAGGTGGTCTCGATCTCACTGGTATCCATATCACATGTGTCTTCTCTATGCAATCAACATCTTCGTGATAAATGCGAGTGTGGATGCAACCTATTTGAAGGGATCGCTTTCTCAATGCGTGCGCCATCGATGATTGAACCACTTAGCATGCATCAAAAACAAAAACTTGATTGAAATCAGATCGCTGCTGCAAATTGCCTTTTTCATTACCTGATAACCTAAATTAATATTCCATGTAATACCATACTAAGAAAGCAAACATGATGTAGACTGCTCTCATTTGATTTGCATAATTCTTCCTCTTCATTAGTAACGTGTTCTCATCTTATCTATTTCATCTAGACGATATTATGAATATGGATACACTGTACATGGATATGGACAATACCATTTTTATGAGATTCAATGAAAGCAATGAATATCATCTTCAAATAAACATTTCTTCTTCTGTGTAAGAATAAAATCTCAAATAAAGCATGAAATACATTGTAAGTATTGTTGTGTAAATCCTGAGAATTTTGTGATAGTTGATGAGGTTCACGTGGCATGCTCTAGCTGTATAGAGAAGAGTAAAGTGAGAGTTGTATTACTTGAGAGTAGAGCTCTTATTGGTGTAATGAGAGTGTAGTGAAGATCCTCGCCTGCTCTACTTCTCTCTTGATATCTCTTATCCTACATTTCTCTACCTCTTAAAGTTGAAGATGGTAGGAATGGAATACAATTAAGCCCTCCATGTGAGCGGAAAGCTTACAAACATTATTTCATCTCGGCTCCCTTCTAAGGGCACCTGACTTTTGCTCTGGTGACATTTTCTACAGGTTTTCCTTCTTAAAGTGTTAGTTATATTGGGTCATGTGCCTGCATGGTCTTAGCTCCAGGATTAGTGATAGATATTTGGCTCGTGTAAGAAACTGACTGTTGAACAATTGCCACTGAAGTGTATCGTAAAATATTTCATGTATGTAGTCAGAAAATCTCCCCCCCCCCCCCAAGAAAACTTAATCTTTAGATTTACAGGGATGAGATTCCTTCGCTGATTGGCGGATTTCCGCCTATTTCGAGATTTTAAAAAAAAAATCAAAAAAAAAAAAAATCAATCTCATCTGAACAATGTGATAGAGTCCCTTTAAGCAAGATGGAGGGGGGCGGGGGCGGGGGCGGATTGGGGTAACAAATATTTCTTAAATTTAGAATTCAAATGCAAGGAAAATGTGTTCTTTTACATAAACACTGTATATTCTAAAGTTTTCTGCACTAGGGGTGTTGCCCCCGGACCCCCAGTTAATCTTCCTCATTTTGGGAATTTCTCTGTCTCATCCCTGGTTTTACTATGGGCAGTGGGAGGCAAGAATCTGCATCTACCGTGCTCAGGGAATTACACATGGTTGCCTGTGAAAAGGCATATCCATGTATCATAATTATATAAAGTTTCACTAGTAGTCTATAAATGCCTCAATAGCTGTGTTTAAACCATGAATCTAGTAGGTCCATGGTTTAAACACACTATTCCTGATCACATTATCAACTCTCCTTTTCACATGATCCTACACTCCTCCGAATGGACTGATTACCACTCCTAATTGGGGGTGTAGTTTCCGTCATTACGGCCCCAAAATATGGATCCCTCTCCTGTCTTTACAGTCTGGACTTCCACTTTGATTGACCCTTTCAAGAAGAACTTAAAGACTCCCCTCTTTATTACCTGAATTATATTATACAAAAGTATTACTTTTCCTTATTTAATTGATTAAATTACCATTCGACATTGACATTGTATACATGTATATGCCTTTAAGGGCGGATCTTATGGAAGGAGCTCCCTCCCATGATTAGAGAATTTTCACACATTTCCATAAGTGCAGACGGATAGATAGCCATGTGGAATTAGATACAGACTGAATTAAATAATCATGTGCAAAAGACAGATCTTCCAAGGTGAGAGGTAGACAAACATATGTTTACACATTTTGTACTGAGGTTGTGCAGAATATAAGTAGGGTGATTGAAGTTAGCATTTACAACATGAAATATTTGAAGACGTCTGAACGGAGATGATACTCATAGAGATATGTATTCAACCCATCTACTTATATAGGTTAGGTAGATGGAAGGGGAATAGGATGTGTGTGTGTGTGTGGTCGTCTAGCTGTGGTTTAAGCTGACCTATTTTCTTGAAATGAATATCTTAGGTTCTTGATTTCCTTCATCTTAAATACAGCTCCTTGAAAAGAGAGGGGTCTTGTCTATTTCTGGTTATCTCCTCTGGAATCTTACCTTTCCCTTTAATGTAATTAGCAATATTTTGATCTGTCATCACTCTCTAGTATTTTTTTGTATTTGTATTTTGTCTTTCCCTGCTCTCGTTCTCTCTGCCATCTGTCTCTCTTCTTATTTTTGTTGTTCTTCGTCTTGATCTTCTTTTCTCTCTCTCTCTCCCTCAGTTTTCTTATATGTTCTGTATTTTTTCGGTTTCTGTTTTCCATTGTGCATCAGTACATGTATGAATATATTTTTGTTTGTCTCTGTCTTTGTGTGGCTGTCTGTCTGTCCGTCTGCCTTTCTGTCTGTCTGTCTGTCTGTCTCTCTCTCTTTCATGTGGTTTCTCTGTATTTCTCTTTATTTCTATTGCCCCCCCCCCCCCCCCCCCCCCCCCCCCCGGACAGACCTCTCCTCATATTTTCTTCTGTGTTTCATCTTGTTTAATTGTTCATCATAGTGTCTCTCTTTCTCTCTGTCTCTCTGGTACTGTTTATAACTGAATATACAGTATCTTTTTTTTTCTCTCTCTCTCTCTCTCTTTGTCTTTCTGTCTCTCTTTTGTTTGGTCTCTCTGTTGTTTTCTGTGTATCTGTGTCTACCCCCCCCTCCCCTCTTTTGTAATACAAGTAATTGGATATATTTGGCTTTATATTGATATGAAAAAGTAATGAAAAAATAATAGAAAGAAGTGGACACTGGAGGAAATTGATGTATTCTATGTTATACATGTCAAGTTTATGTTCTCCTTTCAAAATCCTTTCCTTTATTACTCATTTCCTGTAACTGTCTTTTAAACACAGATTGCCCTGATTGGAATTATAATAAAAGAAAATTAGAGCACCATTTGATTTCATGGACATGTTATCCAACGCATTCAATTAGTGTGTGTTTGTCTCGCTCTATTTCTTCCATTCTTTCCCCTGTTTTGTTTTTGAAAGAAGGGGATGTAATAGTGGTGTAGTTTGATTCCAACTTTGTTGCAATTCATAAATTGCCCCTGCCTCAGGTGCACAATGACTTTCCTCTCTCGATCTGCCAAAGAAAACAAAAGGAGAAACGCCACTAAAATTAAATTAGGAAAATTATGTGCAGACCACAAAATGGGTAAAAGTAGGCCAGACCTAAATAAGGTAGATTTGCTGCACGAAAGGGCAGAATTGCAATCTGGGAAGGGGAAAATACGTGAAATTAGAACATTCCATTTAACATGATTGAGTGATTTCTGATTGCTCATATGGTTGCCTGGTGAATGAAGATAAGGAGTGATTTAATAAGCGCTACTCAAAAATGGAGACATGATTTGGAGAAGGCTAGCCAGTTTTAGGGGTTCTCACGATGTCATTGTCATTTCTATTTCCATGAAAAGGGCTGTTCAACCTTAGAGTTACAGAAAGTAGCAATTGATTGAGCAGTGAATTATGAAGAGTGCTTGTCGTGAATATCCAATAAATATTACCCAACGTAAACTATGTTTAATGTATCTTAAGCTGTCATGTTGGATTCTACTTTTAACATTATTTTACACTGAGAATTTTATGACTGGTCTCTTGTGTAGTATTTTTTTTTAAATAGTTTTTATTTTAATCATGCATAAAGATATTTATTGCTCATAAATTTTGTAAAGATAAATATTGAGAGTAACTGTACATCTTGTATGAAGTTAAAGAGACAACATTAGCCAGATGGTAACTGACTTCACTTATTCTCATCTACTTAATGCAGGGATGCATGGTTCCTATAAATATCAATAAAAAGATTAACTTTTAAAGTTCAAAACAGACAGGTAAATCTGTCTATGTGCTTGACAATATTGCTATTCAAATAAACACAGTTTCATGCTTTTAGATTTCTACAGATTAATTCCTATATAAAACAAAGACGATAATATACTATAATATGATATTAATAAAATAAAAAGTAAATCATTAGCAATATGTTATTCCTAAATTTAAACATGAAAGGAAAGGAAGAAATATTATTTGACTCAAATTGTTAGAAAAAAGAAAGACAAAAATAGCATATTAACTCACCAATGACCAGTAAAATGAACTTTTGTGACAAAAAATATCAATATGTAGACTATAGGCGTTATAATAACCACAAATGAAAGTTTGAGTTCTGTTCTGTTCCCTTTGGCAGTGGGTTGAGGTCTATCTTTTTAGATCATTTATTTCCTGTCTTTTTGTTAACCATCTTTTTTTCTTCTTTTCTTTTCTAGATTTTGATAAAGACATGAACATCCTATGTCAGGTATGCGGAGACAAGGCATCAGGCTTTCACTATGGAGTACATTCATGCGAAGGCTGCAAGGTAAATAAGATTGCATACCTTTAAAGTGGCAGTGAGTTATTACACCAAAGATATTTGCTTATCCACATCCATTTTGCTTATATCTTTGTGCAATTGTTGATGAATATGAACAGTGGAATTCTATTCAATGCACCCGTTTTTGTATTCCAGCTGTAATGAAAACAAATTGTGCAAGGACTTTTCAACCGTTTTTGTCTCGTGTTAATTGTGCAATTTCATTCCTATTTATTTTTCTGGTAGTGCTCTTAAGATTGATCTGTATTGTATCCCAATGATGTAGACCTTGCTATTAGAATATGTCAGATAACCTATCTTGTATTATAATAGACAAACTAGCCTGATATTGTAACAATTAAGATCGGTTAACAAATCAGAAGCAAGAAATGGATATGACATCATATTCTGTGCCGAGTTTTTTTTATGAAACAAGAATTGGGGCATGAAAACAAAATTATTACAGATTAACCAGGTTTCTTAGCTTTCATTGTTTACCCAGGAAATAAAAACTGGGTCAACGTCCCACTTTTTTTTAATCGCAAGAATGTTTCCTCTCCACGCCATCGCTTGGCTCTTAGCCCCGCCCCCATGATACAATCTGCCCCGCCCCCCCTCGGCGTTGGTGGCGTCCGTCCAACGAGACTATCATCCCATCTGATTGTACTTTAATCATACTTGTACTACATCCTGCATGCTTTATATTGTATTGTGTTGACTATAACAGATGGTTAGCAACCAATAGCCCAAAGAACTGCAATGTGTTTTCATGTTAACAAGCTTATTTAACCAATCGATCTTTGTTTTGTGATCAGGCTTTGTAGTCCAAGCCGATTATAAAATCATAATTCTTTGTTTGAAGATGTCCTCCAAGATAAATAGGAAAAGCTTCTGGATTTTAGCTAGGTTTTTAAATAAGAAAATCCTTGAATAATCTGGACCAGGGTTGGAGGCACCAATAAAAAAATGAAAAATTCACTTTGTAAGATGCTTCCTTTACCTACATGTAAACATGCATTACATAGATGTCTATCAGCAATTCAGGCATAAGGAAAGTTGACTTGTAGATCTGTGTTACTAAATTGTGTACTTCTTGGTATATATATATATATATATCCGATTAATTGTTTGATTAATCTACATGTACATGAAAACTTTGTCCTATGAAATAGAGAATGCATAAAGTTGGTATGATATTGACCAATATTTCAGCTCTTGTGGATGCTTCAAGGGTATATGAAATGTTGTAAAAGGGGTTAAGCTTCATGAAATACTATTTCTTGAATGCATAAAGCCTGCTACCTGTTTGTCACAAGTTTTTTCTTTGGCCCATATCTATAATCAAAACACCATTCTTGATTACAAATATAAATCTTTTTACTCTACCACAATGAGCCTTCTTTGTACATGTATAGCACAAAGCTTTACTGGTATACTAAAAAGATTTTGGTAAATTGGATTGTTTCCATGTTTTTTGTCAGCTTTAGAAAAAAAGAAGAAAAAAAAAATGCAGGATAATGAAAATATAAGGAAGTGAATTCACATCATTTGTATGGTTAAACAGAATTATTGAAAAACAACAAAATGGGACAACTCACCTCAAAGTAAACACTGTTTCAAAAGGTTGTTGTGCTCTTATAATCTCTTCCTATAGAAATAAGACTGAATTTATGAGCTAAATACTTTGCCTTTGTCAAGATTGCCTTTATCCTAGCTCGCTTTATGATTTTTTCCTTTCCTTATGATCTTATAACTTCTCAGTTTTTTAATCCAATAGCACTGTTAGTTCAATAACCTGCATATTTTATGCTCATTCACATCATGTAAACAAGGATACTATGAATATCTCTTCTTTTCATAAAAAAAAATAAATACAAAAATTAAAAAAAATCACATTTTTTCTTTTTTAATTTTGTGGATAGTCAGATACCGAGTATTATGCTAAAAACTCCAACAACAAAAATATCTGTTATGCTTGCTTCAGTGTAGTACAGTAGAAGTACATTTATGTGTGTCAAAAATAATTAGGTGTGCTCTTAATGTGTGTATAGATACATGTAGAGGAGATATTTGAAATTATAATTTTTTGTACTTTTTAAACAGGGTCGCTGTGTCAGTATTAAAACTTTTTTTTTATCGAAAAGGCCCTGTACAAATTAATACAAATACAATATATTGGAAGTAATTTTAACAAAATATTCACACAAAGCAATGATTCTGGCTTTCCTGGCTTGTAGTATGATTCTTGAAGAAAGAACTTTGAAGTTATCACCTCATCAAGACACTGGCTTCTTGTTCCTTATGGTGCTCTTATTCTAATTCATTCTAATTCACATGAACATAATAACCCATTGGGGACTTTTTTTATTGTTCTCTACTTGCCCTTAATTGAGACTGGTGATAGTCAAGTAACTTCACTTGAAATTTAATGGCAGTAAATCATGTCAAGTGCATGGTATTAAGGGTATTTCACGGCTACTTAACATCTATTGATTATTGTATTGACACAGTTTCTCATGCACGCACATATTTCCCATGACAATTGATTTTTTAGGCCAAGCAATGTGTCACTCATTCACAAAGAATTATAGATGATCTTCTGAACTATCTACTACATCAGTGCTAATGCTACAAGTTTAGCATAGCTGTGGAAATATTCTATAAACCTATATAAAAGAGGTTAGGAAATTAATGGACATGAAATCATTTGTGTAAATTGGGTTTTACAAATAGTTTAGGTCTCTTCCCATCATGCAAGATTACATGCATATCAATTCTTCTTTTTCTATATTCTGATGGAAAATTTGTCTTTTATTATCCTATTATCAGATATTGGGTACAAGAAGTAACTGAATATAATTGAATTTCTAAAAGCACACCGTCAAAGAGGTCAAAATTGTTTAATAGGTGGAATTAGATAAACCTTTTTCTTGGGGTAAGAAATGATATGATTGGCTCCTATTTATTCCTTCACCTTCATCTGTTCCATCTCTCTATGTTCAGATAACAACGTATTGCCCCACTAGATCCATGTGACATCCTACAACTATTCAGCTGCACATTGATATAGATCTATATCATCATTTATTCTACCACCCTACCACATTTAGCTATCCATTTTTCCTCCCATCATTCTCACTACCACCAAACAATATCCAGCTACAACTTCCCTTTCCATCACCATTCCCTCTACCATTCTCCTACTCTAGTTTAATACCTTGTATACCACCTGATAACATTCAGCTCAGTTACTCATTAATCTTAATTCTTACTACCAAGTATCGTCTTTCCTACACCTTTTAATCCAGTATCTCTTCATTAATGTAGCCTCTCTTCTACCACCCTACCACATGTACAATGTACATGCAGGTACTCATTTACCCCCATCCTGTACTATTCTCACTGCCATCTAACCATATTCTGGTCCACAATGATTTTCCCTTCACCATTTCCCCTACCAATCCACGAAATGAAACCACCTCCTCTACCACCCTAGGACCCAACCCATCCTCCTACCTACTACTACCACATAATCTCTTCCGCTATTTCCTCTACCACAATATTCAGCTGTAAAATTGCCCTCCTCGCACCATTTAACCCTACCACTCTACCTGCCATAATGATCTGATAATAATTAACCCCTCCTACCAATCTCACTACCACTTTATTAAGCTACTTAAGTACCTTTCCCTCACCAGTCACTTAAACAAGTTTAGCCGCCTCTCTGCCACCCGTACCACAATCAGCTACTCATTACTCATGTCCATGTTCATCACCATGTTCCGTACCACCCTATCCCACTCTGCGACCCATCTATCCCGCTTATATCATTCTTGTTAGCATTGTATTTGGCTACAAAAGTACTTTCCCCTTATCACTACCTCTCTACCAAATTCAGCAACTTTTCTACCACCCTAGCCACATTCCGCCATCCATCTCCCTCCTCACCACCAGCATTCTCCATCTTCACAATCACCATTCTCTCGCTACCACAACCTTTCCTAGTTTGACCCCAGCTGGCAAGCTGTGCACCATGCCAAGAATTGAGAGGAGCCATGATCAACATACTTGCGTGACATACTTGACCCAGGAGAGTTAAACTCCTTGCATGAGGGCACCAACGCAACATGAACGATGCAACATGAACGATGCAAGAAAGGAAGAAGGAGAAAGAAAAAAATGTCCATGTGCTGGTTTCATCCATCGCTAGCCACAGATCCCCTCTTTAATAAAAAAAGAGAGTAGAAGGAAATAATATCTAGGTTACTATTATCGGAAATGATTTGAATGTCAGATCTTTTTGGAAAATAAAACTGGGATATCTAGGTCATGAACTAGTTCAGTGACAACATGCCATGTTTTCTTTTTTTTCCTCTCTCATTCATTCTTCTTTCCCCCCCATCTCTTGACTCCTCTAGTAAACTGGAGTTGGTAGTCATTGAATGCTTGAGTGCCATTCTTGAATGGACTAAATTGAAAGTGCTTAATAGCCACAATTTTTGCTCCATTTTTTCTGTGAGATGGAATTGAATAATCACGTAATGTTTTGTCCCTGCTCTATTTTTCAAATTGGTTGTATTATCCACTTAGTAATGCCTTGCGATCAACCTCTGTTTCTATGGGAGAGGAAAATGAGTGTGGTCATGCGATTCAGTTTATAACATGCTTTCTTTAAAGAAACATGCCCTATTTTTGTCATCTCTCTTTTGATACATAAACCATATCTAGAGTAGTCTGACATTTTCTGATGCATTTGTGGTTTTAATAGCCTTATTTTGTATTCAATCTCTTTATCTAAATAGGACTTTTAACCTATATAAATTTACATGTACATGGCACATTAACTTTTGGTGTCAAGCGATTGTGATGTACCATGCTCTTTGTCATCACAATGACAAAGAGCTATTTTGGGGCTTTTTAAATATTTCCTGCAGTCTTTTGTTAATAGATTGTAGCATTGAAAAGTCAAAGTAATATCTCCTGAAGTTCATTAAAAAAATTGTTAC